GCCCGCTCCCGCCGCCGGCTCAGGGCCGTGACTCCCCGCTCCTCTCCGTGTTTCCCCGCAGCTTTCCGGGCCGCCTTCCGGGCGCGGGGCGCGCTGGCAGTGCTGCAGCACTTCGATTCCCTCTACAGCTTGCTCCAGTGAGTACCGAGCGACGGGAGCGGGGCCGGGGCTCCGCGGGGACAGCGGGAGCGGGGAGGGTTGCGGAGAGGCTGCTGCGCCCGGGCGCTCACGCCTCTTGTTGGGGGTGTTTCCTCGCTGCTCTCATGCCCTCTGCTTGCCCTGCAGCCACTTCCGAGCTGTGGGGACTGCTGTCAAGGAGGATGCCCTGGAGCTGATGATGCAGGGTGGGTATCGGCTGTTTCCAGCTGAAGCGGGAGTAATAGAGAGGTTGCTCTCCTTCGGCAGCTCAATGATGATATAAAGGCTAATGTGACTTGACCAGCTGGGTTGCACCCTCAGCCCATTCCTGTAACATGGGTCTGTAATCTTGGTGGACAATGCAGAGCGGTGCGTGTTCGCTGTAAGGGCAGGCCGACAGAAAATCCCCTTCCCCGCGTCCCTGGAAAATACGTCTTTGGGATGCATCAGCTCCGAGCAAGCGTTTCTCTGAGCTGACGGGGGGCTGTTGGGGATAGGATAGGACAGCGCGCCTGAGGTTTGGGCTGCAGGGGGTAGCCCACGTTACAGCTGGCGAGATGTGAGCACACGTCTTTGGTAATCTGATGACTGCTCAAAGTCTCTAAAGAGAGGATGGCTGAGGGGCCTGGCAAGGAGTCCTCACGACTTTCCGCCTCTCTTCAGTGGTGTCCCATCATTCCAATGAGCTTCCTGGCATCCTGGGTGATTCTGGGCTGAGCCGCGCAGACCGCGTCGCTCACCTCAACGCTCTCAAGATGAACTGCTATTTGCTGGCCGGCCTGGTGGACGCCTTTGAAATGGAAACCTGCAAGAGTAGTTTGCTGGAGGTGGACCTTGCTGGGAAGGTAGGCGAGGGGACTGGGAGGAAAACAAGATGATAAAAGCAGAAAACGTGTAAGTTTGACTCTGTGCTATCCGTCAGATGTTATAGCTGGATTTATTTAAACACGATGCTGACAAGAGCAGTGCATAATGCGGAGTGCTGGGATTTCTGTGAAACTGTACAAGGAAAACAGCCGAAGGGACAACATGTGTCTAAACACCAGCAGGGCCTCAGATGCCCAGGCCTCTCTGTTTCACTCCTCAGTGTCTGGCTGGTACTTAGCGTGCCCGTAATTTCTCAAGAGTTCCCTTCTGTGGTCAAAGATGACAGCAACGGCCGTTCGATGCGGGCGTATAAGCTTCTCGCGCATCTCGCCGTATGTCTCTTAACGCTGTAGGATTTAACAGTCATTTTCTTTTTTGAGGGAAGCAGGGTGGTGATGGTGTTTTTTCTGTTGTCAAGCTGCTGATGTATCACATCGCATAATATTTCTAGAACAAGAAGAACCGTACCAAGACCCCTGGATCCTTGTGGGAAGAGGAGAGGGAGCCGCTCTTACGGCTGCTGACGCAGTTGCTGCAGCTGGATCTCCGTCAGCTTTGGAGTGGTTTGGTGGTGGAAGAAGAGTTTGTCAGGTACGGGATGGAGTGGGTGTAGAGGTGGGATGGGTGACAGCGGTTTTCTGGAAGGGAGGGTTAAATGTTAAATCTGCCAGTGAGGTGGCATTACAGCCCTCAGCGGGGTGCAGATCCCTGGGAAACTGAGGAAACCATCTTGAGGCAAAAGCGATGTGTTTAGGAACCTCTTCCTTTTCTCGTGTAGGCCTCTCAACTTCAGGTGTTGTTTGCTCAGGTTTTTAAGGATACCGGAGAATCTCTCTGGTTTGAGAGAAACGTTTGCGTAGTGCAGTGTGCTAGAATGACGGCGATGCGAGTTGTGACAGTGAGGCTCACTGTTTCTCTTCTGTGGCTTTAGCTTAATGACAGGAAGCTGCTACCGTATCCTGGAGAACCCAAGTATCGGTCTTCAGAAGTACCGGGCCACACGGGAGGCTGTGACACATCTGCTTGCTGCAGCTCTGACTCACTATGATCATATGTTCAGTGAGTTCCTGCTCCTTTGCCTTCTTCCTGAAGCCATTCCCAGTTACTTTCCCTGACCTCTTTCTTCCTCTTCACGTGCCAAAGATGCCACTCTGAAGATCACACAGATGCTGCAGCACTTTGAACATGTAGCCCCGGTGTTTGCACAGGCTGTGAGCCTCTGGGCTACGGAGTATGGTCTGAAAACCCTGGTGGGCGAATTGCTGAGGTGAGAAAAATACCCCGAGGCTTGTCCTTCTGTCACTAGCAGCTTGAGGCACCCCATTCCTTGTTTCATCTTTCTGTGCAGGGAAATCGGACAGAAATGTCCGCAGGATCTGGGCCGTGATGCTTCTGGAATCAAGGGTTATGCTACCTTTATAACTGAACTGGCTGAACAGATTCCAGCTCTGGTGCTATCCAACATGAGCGTTCTCCTGCATCACTTGGATGGGGAGGTACATTTCTACAATATTACCTGTCTGGAGAAGTCAAGAGGTGGAGGTGCTGCTGTTCAGTTTTTCTGTCTGAAAACAGAATCTCTTTCGCAAGGATCAAGTAGCCAAACCCTGCCCTTTGGAATAGCTTCTGCCCTTACCTACAAGACGCAAAGCAAACAGAAACCGTGACATCTACTGTCTGGTTGTCACTCCCAGATACCAGAGAACGGGAGACCGCTTACTGGTCTGAGATCCCAGCTGTTGTCCCTTGTTCTTCAGTACTTAATGAGTTTGTCGTTGTGTTACCTTTTCTTAAACTGCCCTTAAAAGCCATAAGTGTTTCTCATACCAGTTCTTGGCTTCTGTGGACCTAGCTGGGTCGCAGGGTCGGATTACGCTGTCTTGCAGGCACAGCCATGTTCACCCAAGGTTAATACAAAGTCCGTAATGGAGAAATTCACTTCAGGCTGGAGCCTGGGACTTTGCATATCAAGTCATGTCTTTTTGTCTGTTCCTGGTTCAGCAACTCTTCTTTTTGCAGAGTTACATGATGCGAAATGCCATTCTGGCAGCTATGGCCGAAGCGCTGGTGCAGGTGCTGAATGGTGACCAGCTGGAGGAAGCTGCCCGTGGCACTCGGGACCAGTTCCTGAACATGCTGCAGGCCCATGTCTGTGACATCAATGGCTTTGTGCGCAGCCGCGTGCTGCAGCTTTTCACTCGAATCGTTCAACGCAAGGTAAGTCTGTGCTGGGGAAATGGCCTTGCCTCAGTTATCCGTTCCCTTGTTTCTTCTAAGGGATTTTCTGTCACCCTGCTCTTTGTTTGCAGAGACTGAAGTTTAACAGAGAAAGGTGTTGTCCTGTGTGTCTGCAATTCCCTTTTCCCAAGAGACCAAAGATCCTAGGGGCGAGGGAACCGGGGAACAAAAATTAAATGCTGCTCTAGGCTAGAAGGAAGTTAAATTAAATGCTTCACAGGCTAGAAGGAAAAGCACGCTACGCAAGCTGGTTTTGGACATTGGTGTGGGAAAACATCACCCTCGCTAGATATACTAAGACTCGACTCAGTGGGACCCTGGATAACCTAATATAAGTCCTTGCTTTCAACACAGGTTGGACCAGATGATGTCCAGAGGTCCCTTCAGGCCCAGAATTTCCTATAAATCTGTAATCTCTGCCTTGTAGTGCATTCATATGTCTGCAGTAAAATAACTTCTCGTGAGTCTCTAGGCCTTCTTGATAACTTTGTCTATGCTCTCGTTGTGCTCTAGGTTCTGCCTTTGACTCAGTTTCAGTCTGTGGTATCGCTGGCTGTGGGGCGTCTCAAAGACAAATCTGTGGTAGTAGTTAAAAATGCCATCCAGCTCCTGGCTGCGTTTTTGTCCAACAATCCCTTCTCCTGCAAGGTAATTCTGACCGGTGGGATGGATATGCTAGGTGTCTGTTTGCAGGCTGAATATCCGCAGTGTGCTATAGCCAGGGCAGCAGCCTTTGGGCAGTCTTGTGGGAGGGACAACGCAGCCTCTCGCTCTGTGGGTGGAAGCTTTCCGCTTTTCCTGGATTCAGATCTTGCTTTCTCTGGCTCTTCCCTCGCTTGGTGTAATCGGTAGGTACGCTGAAGGCCAGGAGGGATGCGTTTGATTGTGGAAAAACCTGCAGCAGTTTGAATCCACTGTGGGCTTTCTTTCCTTTTAGTCTTTTAAAACATTCTGCACAGAGCTGCAGCTCTTTGTGTTGAGCTGCACCTTCTCCTGAGCCTCGTACTGGCAACTTACAGCAGTTCCCATTCTAGGATGATGGCCAGAGTCTACTATTCCAGTTTCCAAAACCAGAGTTCTCCGAGGGGACTTACAGTTTAAAGCAGGGAGTGGAAGAGAAAGGAGAATTCGAGCATTTCAGAAAAAGGTGGATAAGTAACATCTCTCTCCTTCTCTTCCTGGCATCTTCAGTTAAGCTGTGCTGACTTGGCCG